GAGAGGAAATCTTTTCAGTAGTCGGGGCTGAAAAAGTCCCCACTTACAGCGACCTCCAAGAGCTCAAGTACACTGAAAGATGCATCAAAGAAACACTAAGGCTTTTCCCAAGTGTCCCGTTCATTTCTCGGTACGCCAGTGAGGATTTTGTCACAAAAACTGGTTATGCGATTCCAGAGGGAACGGTTATGCATATTCACATTTTTGATTTACACCGGAATGAGGAAATTTATCCTGAGCCTTTGAAGTTCGATCCGGACCGTTTTCTCCCCGATAAAGTAAATGAGAGACACCCTTTTGCCTATATTCCGTTCAGTGCRGGGCCTAGAAATTGCATAGGACAGAAGTTTGCTTTCCTGGAACTCAAAACAGTACTCTGTGGGATTTTGAGGAAGTTCAAGTTGGAGAAAGTCGATGATATGTACGAGATTGAGTTCAGGCCAGACCTGGTGCTAAGGCCAAAGAACGATGTCAAAGTCAAAATCGAAAAATTGCAATAAAAGTGAGTATGTTGTGATCATAAATACGTATATCGATTTTTAAGAAACTGCGTTTAATTTAATGAACAAATAATAAATGAAAGCTATTGTAGTTTACGAAACGAGCGAAGCGAGTGGAGTAATCTCCAAACAATGTAGTCATATATTTATTTATAAGATAAATTGATTCTAAGTAAATAATTATATTTAAGTGTAATGCTAAAGTAATGAATCATATAATTATAAATAATCTGTTTCACTATAAATAAACATAAATATTTTTTCTAATGCCTGTACTTAGGTAATATTAAGAAATTGTGTAAATTTTTCAATGTACATGTAAATGTACTTTATTACAAAAACAGAATTAAAAATAAGTTCCTGTACTTAATTCCATTTTTCTATTCCCACATCTAAAACACGGATTATTTTTTTATTAATTATTTTTAATTTAATTTTTAATTTAAGTAATTTTTTTTCGTAGTGGTTGTAGAAAAAGTATAGTATGTAATACGTGAATAAACTTCTCTGCACATTCGTTTTATTAAACACTCGCTCCGCTGCGCTTCGCTCGTGCCTAATAAAACTCTGTCTAAAGTGGCGTTTATAATACTAGTTACATAATATACTATTTAAATCTCTTACTTTCCATACAGACTGTATTATAAAAAACGCCCCAAGCCATAACTCCATTGTTTTTAAACTTATGACAATACTTCTTAGAACAAAGTTGAACATTTTTTGTTAACTATCATTTAGAAAACAGCGTTAGTTTAGCATCTATCCCAAACAATAGATGACAAAAAAATGTTCAACTTTGTTCTAAGAAGTATTGTCACAAGTTTAAAAATAATGGAGTTATGGCTTTTGAGGCGTTTTTCATAATGCAGCCTGTACAATTAATATAAAAAAAAACAATTATACTTGATTAGTTTGTTGATCTCGAAAAAAATCAGTTATTTATGGAAAGTTTGTGCTTCCATCTGAACATTTATTGTTATCACAAGATAACAAAATACATTACGTCGTTAGTTGTATCATAGACTGATTATTCCGAACACAAATTTGCAAGTTGTGTTATTAACAAGAAGAACAAAGATCGACATTGAAACGAGCACATTATAAAACCTGTCAGACTGTATCCAACACTTGTTACATAACCTTCGACCTGTAAACAGTGAAAATGCTGTCGTTTTATCTGTTATTAACCGGCATAGCCCTGATTTTGCTACTCCAAAGTTGGCGTTTTTTCCGAAAATACCTCAGGAATAAGAAAATTTTGAAGAAAATACGTGCCCCCCCTGAGACACCAATTTTCGGGCACATGTACATCTTCACACAAGACCCAGGTAAGCGCCTGAAATAATCAATCAGATTGTAACTCTTCCTAAGACTTACTGTTTACAAGAATGCGAAAATTCTCACGGGAGTACTACCCCATTTTCCGCTTTTCGGCCCTCTACGTCGACATTGTGAATTTTCTCGATCCTAGCGACATTGAAGTAAGTACCAAAAACGCCCCCACAATGATGCAAACATCAATTTCAGTTGATTTTATCGACCACCAAGCATTTGAGTAAGAGCAAAATCTACACTTTTTTGAACAATTGGCTGGGGACGGGTTTACTGACAAGCACTGGT